CATTATTATACAATTCAAACCAAAATGCCTTAAGGTGTGTAGGATATTGTTAGGGAATTGTACGTGGCATCTGGGATATCACTCGAGTAAGGTTTATTAAAGTAAGGGAAGGGTAAATAAACAAAAAGCAATTTATTTTAGTAGTGACACTGTTAGACGATTCTAAAAAAAAAACATGTTTTGTCGTAACGCTTGTATGCACAAAACACTGATTTTGTATGTATCGGTGTTGCCGTGACACACTGAAATGTCAGCGGCCTCTGAATGTGCGTCAGAGAAGGGTTAAATCAAGGCGTTTGTGATTTTTTCTCTTGCGTCTGTGTCTTCCCTAACACTCCGGTCCGAGTCCCCCAATGTAATTCAATATGCCCCGTCAAATAATTATAAGTGACCCAAAAATGAATTCATACAATTGAAAGGGGAGAGGTATTGGAGGGGCTAGGTTAGTATTAGAGTGACAGGTGAGAGGCCATGAAGAACTCTTATCCTATTTACTATCTCCACAAAGTGATATCACGTTTTTCACCAAAAAATGAATCCGCGACCCCAACTTTTTTTGTATATAACATTCTAAAGCAATTGGCCATATAAAACAAAAGTATCAGAGATCTCCAAGAACTTTAATGAAACTGTCTGGATTGTCCTTAAAATTTAGAAGTTCTTCTTAAAATTAGGTAAAGTGACCCTGGACGATTATAACGATTGAAACTTTTTCACCGTTTTATCGGGATTAAAACACGCGGGATATGCGCCCTCATGTGGCATTATTTTTATGGCACGTGCTCTCGATATAACTCGAAAGAATACGAGTCGAGTCTTAATACAACAATTTTATATATTTTAACTTTTAAAATATTGTATAAGAAATGGACAGGACAGGATACAATGGCAATGTCTTATTGCAGGTATTATTTGCCTGGTGCACCTCCCTCTCAATCAGTGCATGGTATTACTGGTCATAATTCCCCGCAGATAACTTTTTAAAAGCTGGCGAGAATGTGTTCAGTGTTGTTGGGTATGTAGAGTTTTGCAAAGCATTGGAGTCGTAAAACAAGAGTGGTTTAGATTTCTGTGTAATCATTTGTCAACAGATGGCTGGATTTATCACTACTGCCCAAGGTGTTATCTAAACACAAATTTGTGTCTAATTTTCGATATGAAGGGGGATAATGTACGATGTTTTTATTTTTCAAAAAGCAAATGGAGAAAAAATAATACCGGGAAACAACTTGAGTTGCGGGTTAATCATATCGGAACAATTTTGTTTATGTTTCTAATTGTACAATCAGTTAATTGTCGTCACCATAGCGTGTCGTTTCTTACAAAAAAAACGTCTACCCATGAACCTTTGCGTTTTTAGCGTGCGTTGTTTACGTCGCTTGGAGCTCAAGAATTCCCGTTGATTCGAAGGTGACGACCCCGCCGCTTTAAATCAGGAACGTTTGAGCTTGTCTGAATAATTTTGTTTGAAAATTTATTTTTTATAAAGGCAATATAATGTAATTTATCATAAACGAAAACGCTTTTTTGTTCAGTTGTAAACATATTAGACACATGTTAGAGGCAATAAAGAAATGTCTGGTTAGTCGTAACGCAAATATGTAGAGCAAAAATAAATTTATGTAAGATTTGAAACACAAGAATTTAACAATTTGCTCCGCTCACTGTTTGACTTCTGCCAGAGTGATGGCACCACAGAACTATACTATAGGTGGTATCTGTATTAATTGGCTTCACATCTCTAAATGTTGAACCCATTTTTGTTGAGAAAAACAATCATCCATATATCAACACGCAATCTAATTATGGATAGACGTTTCACTGTACCCCAACCCCTACTCCTAACTCTAACCCTACCCCACCTTCCTGTGACCAACATTAATTGCATACGCTTCCTTCATTACAACTACAGTTAACTGTTAACTGAGTGAATTCGCTGGAGAGTCATTCACAAAGAATTGGTAATGTCAAAGAACTGTTTGGATCACCCTTAAATAATCTTAGTTCTTTGAATTCTGTTTCCTAGGATAGAAACGATGCGTGACTAAAGTTTTTTTAATCCCGAATCATTTAAAAAAATCTAGATTTTTAAAAGAGACAAAAAGTGCTATTCTAAAATAGAATGCTATTCAATTGAAATATTAATTTTCTTTTGTTTATTTTTACATATATGACCTTTCATGTCACGAGGAACGAGAAAATGGAATACAAATATAGTGTCACCGTACTCGGTTCGGTGAAAAGCGATATACGAAATGGAGTGAAAATAGCATATTCTGTCCTATGATATTTTCCAATGTTTCCTATGGCAAGAAACGATGTTCAATATTTAAGTTACGTACACAATGTCTAACAATGTACTTGTTCATTTCTAGAAGTTTTGAAAATGGCATTATTTTTAGTGTGTCTTTAATGCCGAAATGATTGTCCCGTTCTGATATATGGAAACCGGTGCTAAATTGCCACTTAATGCATAGTATTTGAAAAAAATTTCGAAAAAAAAAGTCAACATACTGTTGATACTTAAATGATTAATAGTAGACATATTTTGGCACGAAACATCGTCACTCCTATATGTTCTAAAATTAATTTCTACCTTAAAGCGGGAGAGTTGTCACCTGCGCATGCGTCAGATGGTCATAGCGCGTCGTTGTTTACAAACAACTGTCTGCTTCATGAGCTTTTGCGTTTTTAGTGTGTGCTGTTATTATCGCTTGGGACTCAATTCTCACGCGTGCGCAGGTGACGGCCCTCCCGCTTTAACATTGGGTATTTATTTGTATGAGATGTCATTAGTTTCAATTTCTCAAAGTGGAATGGTTGCGTCATCGTTTACTGAGATAATTGTGGGATATTTGTATCTGATCTGATTTATTTATTTCTTTATTTCAGACAAAAGAGTTCATATCAAAAAAATAATAACAGTAAATGAATAAGAAATATGAACAGGAAACAATAGTTCGCTTGCTATTACTTAATTGCACATAACGTTTCAGTATAGCATTTCATTCCATGGCTGTAACAAGGCTGACTTCCATCTCACGTCACTGTTCCATAAACTAGTCAATATACTGTTGTTGGACGAGCAAGCACGCTTTCCAAATTTACAATAATTCTGTAAATTTCATAAAATGATTTGACAAGGTTAGCAACAAACATAGATCGGGCACTGTGGTCATATTGTTATTCAAGTAGTCTACGAAATAGGTTTTTATAAGAAACTTTCAAAGAATTAAGAGTCGCTTTGTTAAAAAAGCACCACAACTGTGAACAATAAATATCATCATAATACGTTCTAAACAAGATACATATATTATCATCGCTGCACTTTACAAATTTCCTAAGAAGTAGGTTTGGTCTCACTCAAAACAAGCGACGTTGCTGGTCAATGGTGGTCTGCATTATCCTTCATGTCACACATAGGATAGCGTATTTTGTAAATTAAACGGTTTACAGTTATTGTTGGCAGGATTATTTCTATGTTTGCTCGAATTGACCCAGTGGTGCAACTTCGTAAAATGTGTTAGAATTCCGTTGTGGAAATTGACAACCTAGCTCTAAGTGAAATTGATAAGCTGGATGTTTTGAACGACACGGATTTGTTTTATTGTCAAATTAAAAAGTATGACGCGTCTCGCAGTGGATACGGTAGGGGTGATGTTGATCAGACAGAATACGAGACGATCGCTGCGGGCGGTAGAGGGGAGGCGGTACTAGTTTGAATTTTGAGTGAGAGTGCCTTTGTGTGATTATATTGTCATTTACTTTAGAAGGTCAAATACAAAACGTTGGGAACCCGGTTTCATTATATCACTTTACGTCGATTATGGGAATAATGCCTAGGGCTATACGTGAAAAATTCATTCGTTTTTTTAACTCGAAATATTTATGAACAAGTGTTCTGTGAACTAAGTTTGAAAAAAATTAAGATGAAGTGACTGGCAGATTTGTAAAAAAAACATGTGATCGTTTCAATTGTTTTCCCGTGCCTGTGCACACTTATTTAGCAACCTTGCCCTGTGCTAACTGTTTGGGTGATAGAACGTGTTCTCACGTGGATACTCCTGTGGTGCGTTTACTTCGAAAACCTACTTTGCACAGTCGTGACGTGGTACCTCAAATTTCTGGGTTATCCCAAATGCGTCAGAGTGCAAAACGTAGTTAAAACAAATCAGAAAACAAAATAGACGGGACAGAAAGACCAGGAGAACAAATCACTAATGCTTTGATTAAACCTATGGTGACCCTCAGTCGACTCGGAGTGTGCTGTCAACGTTTGACACCAATACATACAAAGTCAGTGTTTTGCGCATGAAAGCGTAACGACAAAGAGTTTTTTCTCGAGAGTTTGCAATCGTCTCAAAGTGTCAATACTAAAGTAAATAGCTCTTTTTTAATTACCCGTCCCTTTATACTTTAACAACATTTATTAGTGTGATATCCAGGCCGACGCGTACAATTTCCTTCCCTAAACAACATTGAGGCAGCTCGGTTCGAATTATATAATGAAACACTATTATAACACTGACTAAATCATGTATCTTACAATTATTAAAATTCAAATCAATAATAATATCTGACTGTTTCATCTTGCGCCAGGCAAAATTTCGAAACAAGGTGAATAAATCTGACCTTACACGAACCAACACGAAATGCAAATTCTGACCTTCTCTCATGACTTTCCGACGGAAAATTGTCCGGTGACCTCATTTCTCATTCAATTTTGCTATCCAAAAGTACATTGACCCGGAATTCTGCTGAAACTTTCTATAGCGTTTATTGTCGAACTTTACTATGCTTATGCAGTACAAATGTTGGCAATAAAACCTCTTGCTACGTGTTCATACTTAGAACAATTCATCATGGTTGGAGGAGATATATAAACAAACAAACGCTCCGTTTTCACAATTCATATTAACCTTTATTCAAACTCAATACGGCTGGTCTTATTACGTCATATTGTCACACGACCTTTAAAAAATAACTTATGTCCAGTCGCTGGCCAACTAGTGGAATACAACATTGTGTGACAATTAAATGAATATATGAACACGATGAAAGAGAATAATTAATTTCCGCCTTTTTCAATTATCTATTCAGTTTTGCAAATAAAGATGTCAATATTAATAATTTTTTTTGAAACATTTAGTCATTTTTCATCTAAATTTCATTTATTTTTTATATGTAGGTAGTATTTAAAAGTTGAAAAAATGTACTTCGATAGGTAAAATAGACAACATAATATAAATGTAATGACAAATATCAAAGTTATACAAAAATATAGTAGAAAAATAAAATATAAGACGTCAATACATCATATTTTAATCTGAATAAGAATATAAACGAAACTACATGTTACGTCACCATCCTGTTCCACTGACATGTTTTCCCTCTTTGAATAAAGTGTGATAAAATATAATAACACTGCAGTTAAGATACTATGAACAGGGAGAAAATCCCAATTAATATAATACAAAAAATACACGTAGTATGCATAGTAAAATACAATACATATTACCTAATATATATATTTAGTAATTACAAAAATTATGCTCTGGTTGATGTCCAACAAACGAAAATATGTTTTCCCAATAACGTACGATTTAGTTTCCCCTACAAGATGTCAAAAGTGTATTTCAAAAATAAACAAAACAAAAAACTTTTCTCTCGCCCGGTTTCTCAAAACATTTAGCTCACTTCATTCCTAGTCTGGTCCTCTGTGCTTCGTGACAACTCTGAATGGCACTGGGCGTAAAGTCAATCCATACACACTTGTCAACTGTGGATTGTCACCTTCACACTTTTCAAAGTGGCACTGATGCATGAAAATCGCGAAGAACAGAAACAATTGCAATTGTGCCAGCTGCTCCCCTGGGCACCGTCGTTTCCCCATGCCGAATGCAACCATCTTAGCAACCTGTGATTTCTTCACTGACAAGCCGTCGGCCGAAAGAAATCGATCGGGGTTAAATCGGTGTGGGTCTTCCCACTCGTTTTCGTCGTAGTTTGCTGACCACAGGTTTACAAATATGGGCGTATCTTTCGGGATTTTATACCCAAGGAGATCCGTGTCCTTTAAGGTCGAATACGGTACGGTCAAAGGTGCAAGCGACGCATGACGGATAACTTCCTGGAGGACAGCATCTGTGTATGGCAATTTTGCTCGATCAGAAAGTGTCGGTAGTCGATCTCTGCTTACTACTCTGTCAATCTCTTCGTGAACTTTGTATTGAATTTCCGGATGTATTATCATGTAAAGAATCAAGTAGTACAGGGTGCTAGTGGTGTTTTCATAACCAGCCCCAAATAAACAACACAACACTCTCTCAACATCTGTTTTTGTTTTCAGCGCACAACCCTCAGTCCTTTCCGAATCGTTGCGTATTCGAATCAGACTATCCATCACACTCCCAATCCCATCGCGATGGGAACTGTGATGGTTAATCTGTTCACCAACGAACCTGGTAATTAGGCTTAAGTCATCAGCAACTTTGGCGAACGCCTTTCTCATTGCAAATGTCATCCATGGTAGATAGTCGACGATGTTCCCCTTCCCCGTGATCGCCGCAACAAACCTCTTGCTATAATACAACACCTTTTTAAAATTATCATCATCGTGACTGTAGCGTTTTCCGAATAAGACGAAACAGGTCACGTTACCTACAGCCGTGTATAAATCGTCATACGGGTCAGACTGTTTTCCATTCCCACAGTTACCATGGTTGGTCAAGTTGTTCACAACATCCACTGCCGCTGATGTGACCACCTCTTCTAGAGCAGTTGGCCCACTCGTGAACGGCTTAAGTGAAGAATCGATTATCTTCCGTTGATATTTCCACATATCGTCATAGGTGTCAAACACAATACCCACGTACTTGCTCGTAAAGTTCATCGATGGAAATGCAGGCCGTCCTGCAAAACGCACCGACTGTTTAAGTAAGGATTCTTTTATCGCTCGTATTCCATTCACGACGACGACGTATTGACTGCCAAGACGAAGTTGATACACGTTGCCATAGGTACACGACATTTCCATAAGTCTTAAATGAGGTAACTCACCAAGTGAGAACAGCGATCCAACTACGGGCCATCCCCGTGGTCCGGGCATGCCTGGCAATGGCCGCCGTCTTTCTGCATTCCGGAATAGAAACAGATATGCGAGTAAAGTGGCAATACCTGCCAGTAGAACTGACGTGACTGTACCTTCCATGTTGAATCGCATTCGTTCCCAGTTTTACCTGACTGTGCAATTTGTTCACGGTAAATTGTAGTGCCGGTACAACAGCTCTATTAGACCAGGGCATTAAGCTCTGCGGTTAAGGCTAACCTCACATTCTTTACGGGTCAATATCTATGCAAATTCTATTTGAAAAAAAGTGCTCGTCCCACCTACACTATGTCTCCGGAACGCTCGAGTTCGCTCATTTTGGCATGAAGTGTTTAATCTATCCAAATACTATTCGAAGGTTTATACACCAAGAAAGGCTTTATCATACCAGACGCTTGTCTGAATATCATGTACAATCGTGTTGCGACCTTCTGACATATGTATTATCGTGTTACCGGTGTATCTAGCACGAAATATCAATTCATTAAACCGTGCCGGTTGCCCGACCTTGTTTTCTCCCCAATATTAACAGTCAAAAAATCCTAGAACACGGAATAAAAGACCTAGAACTGTATTACGTCGTGCGTGAACGTAGTACACATGTGACCGGATAATGAACGTGTCGGAATTGACCGTCATTGTTTTTGTTACGTTGTATATTGAAATTGTGAAATTATTCTCAAGAGTTTTATATATAACCTATGAATATCCACAAACAAACTCTGAATATGACATAATTGGAAAGCCAATAGATAACGTCAAATTTCAGATGTATCATGAAACTTAAATTTTAAACTTTAAATTAAAAAAATTGAATCTTCCATAGATAAATATCTACCTAGGGATTCTAGACCAATCAGATTGCTTCATTGTTTTGTTTTATATACAATACGTGCCTAAAGTCAATTACCAAAGTGAAGTTTGTATAATATATTCATAATTGCCAATATAGTGTTCTTCAATTTATTGAAAACTTGTCCCAGTACTCAAGCTCGCCATGTTGCGTCTGTAAGTAAAGTAATCATTTGCGACACAAATAAATAAAAATACAACGGATACTAAAATTTGAGATGGGTTACATTCGGTTACAAACAAACATGGCGTCGTGAACTTGGGGGTCAAGATTTTTTTCAAGAGTCATCATTTAGGAGGCATTTGTGATATGGAACCACTGTAAATTATTATTGTGCTAAATTACGGCATTCTCTTTTACTTGTGCATAAACCTAATGCACCGAAACGGGGTCAAACAACAGGTATTTTATGGCATGATAATAAACACCATTGTCTTCAAACAAAAATGTCTAAGTTTAAAAGTAGGTCAGCATTAGTATTATATTACTCGATATTTATTTACCAACCTTCCTATCAAGAACAAACGTAACAACCGAGATTTCGTGCGCTTTATTAAAATTGCTGTATTATCGTTTGTATATTTCAAATATCATTCGCTCACTTAAAATAATTTATTTCCATTTATTTGTGTGACGATCAAGAAGGTCAAGTCTCATCACATGTTATCCCACAAAAACTCCCTAAACATTACGATTAGAGCACTAACGACAGCACAATAGGGCGTTATGTTCTCCAAATTAGAATAGCCCCGAGGCTGGTTTAGGAAATGGATAGAGTTTGCTCGTTGTTACGCGCTATGGTAAAAAATAGGGCTCTATAATAGCCTCGCCATTTTATTTATTTGTATAAATTTAGTATTATACAGTTCAGTGGCGTTTGGGGTAGGAAGAATAGTCCGTATATTCCCCTGTTCAACACTAACGCCTCGGTGATATATGCAGGCATCCAAGAGCTTCTGTGACAAATATTAATTTCCCTGATGACGATTATACATTCACACGATAACACAACAGAATTGCGACCTGCGAACTACGACAGGAATGAATGGACCAACCCTCGCGAATGTAATCCCAATAAGTTTCTTTCTAATGGTGGTTAGGTGTTGAACAAATCAGAAGTATCTATGGTGCGTTTATTCGGTTTTGAGAAAGAGGCGTTGCCCGGGGAACAGCTTGCACAAGTCAGGTTGTTTTCTTTTTTTCCCAAATAATGATGTAAGCAATGCCGTTTCCAATGATGTAAAGACATTTATCCGAAGTTGAAATTTGAACTTGAACCACCTTAGATTCTCAGCTATTTTGTCTGTTAACAATCCAAGAATTTAAAAATTAGGCATTTGTGGTAATTGGGAAATAAGGCTCGGCATGGACAAAGTTGAACACCACAATGTGCACGTTCAACTGATTTTGCATTGGAGCAACTTTGTGTCACACCAATGTTTTAATGTATTATCTCCCAAATGAATATATATATATAAATATTTACCAAATGTTTACATTTGGACATGCTGTAACATTTATCTCAAGAACATGGGATTAATATTATTATTCGTACAGAGCATTCTTTGGATTTTCAAAATTGGTTTGCGATTGGTGATATAAGTCAATGTATTCGGGAGTTTGCTTTTTTCGTTTTAAAAATAAAAGCCTTTAAATCACTCGAATCATATTTGAAATTGTTCACATGCTCCATTTCGTAAGTTACATTGAGTGTCACATCTTATCTGTGGGTGCCTTTATACGGTGGTAAAATAAATAATTGTAAAATTGCATGTAATCCGTGAAATTAAGAAAAATAATTATATGTATGAAGTATATTTATGAGTTATCGTATATTAACACACATACACATGCAATGTCAAAGGTGAAATGTGTGAGGTCGCGGACACATGCTTCATACCAATCGTAATCGTGATTTTGAACTTTGTTCAAACACATACAAAGGAACGAATTCTATATAGGCGCTATAAACATGTAGGTCATGACCCAACGTAAACGAGCGCAAACAGGTCATACGTGTAAAAAGGTCAGTAAACCTTTGTTGTCATTGCACTTTTGCATCGATACAATAATAGAGCAACACTGTCTGCCCGCTTATAATAGGTTGAATTCCATAATTTCTAGTGAAACATACGATTTATATCAGAATCACCCCAGAATAACTTTCTCAGCCACGCTATTAAAACAGTACCTCATGATATCGATAGGGTATTTAGTTTAATTTCTGGATATGTCCTACTATATATAAACCATATACTTCAAATGTAATTCAAAAAATACAACTCCGATAAAATGTGGTATCATGGAGAATCCAGTAAATTATCAAACGACTTGAGAACAACACGCTGAACATAATTCGTCCCTAGAGGGCGCAAATTTGAGGACAGGTGTGTTGACGTCAGTTTGTGATTGTGCCTATACTTTTTGCAATATAAAAATAGACCCAAGTTTAATAATGTGTTGACAAAATACAGCGCTATAACCCCTCTGAAAAATCAGCATTTTGGCATTGAGCTATAAAAATTTAAATTTAAATTCAAAAATCAAAACTTTCGATTTTCACGGCAGATGTTCGACCCGCGACGCCATACGCGAGATCTCGCAATCACGTGCTCAGTGAGTTTTGACATTTTATATAGTAAAGCCATACTTACCTTACACCCAACTAAAAGAAAGATTTACTAGATTGAAACTCGCGGGTATTACTGGACTTATTTCAGAAATAGTACCTTTTGACGGGTCTCGGCATTTAACAGTGCTCAGCGCCGAACCGAACTTGGCTCCCTAGGATTAGTTCTAAAGAAATCCGACAGTCTTATATCGTCGATCTAAAAATTCATTTGAAAAACAATTAGAAGTCTTGTTTTGACAGGATGAATACTTCTCTAAGAGAACAGGAAGCTTTTATATCACCGGCAGTGTTAGGTCCTTCAGTTTATTAGTAATTTTCTTTTCATGCTTGGTCTGAACTTTCTCAACCCACTGATCGCATTCAAGTATAAAAGAACAATGTACAAGAAATGCATATTGTCAAGGCAACTCTAGTCAATAGATATTTGTTTTACGATTAATTAATCAACATTTTGTTTAATTTGTGGTTTCTTTGGAAACGATAAGGATAACATAAGTTAACAGTATGTTTTCCTTGATCACTCTAAGCAACAAGCTCGTCATTAATATTTCTCACTAAACATTATGCCGACTTTGCAATACTTCTCTACATTGAGAGGTACATTTTAAAACAACACATATAATGCATTTCAGTCTATGGCATACAAAACAATTCAGATATCGACACATTCCTGCCAAAGTTGAACATTGTTGAAATATACAATGTTATTATATACACGTGTCTCAAATTGCGAGCAATGTTGCACGGGAGATCGCCATCTAGTCTTGACCAGTGAGCGTCTTTTGTTATCACAAATCTAACCTTGACTAATTAAATGTTTTTTTTTCATTGTCTATCAAAATCAACGCTCAGAATTGTTATTCGTCATCAACAGTTAGATGTTAGCTTATATGAATAAACATTCTGTGTGCACATTGAACTAATTTATATTGTTTTGAATTAGTGAAAGGCAGAAAATGCTAATTTGCATAACCTATGTCTATGTATTGCCTTACACATATAAATGCAATTTTAATTGGAAGTAAAAAGACTAAATAAGAATCGATATTCTGTAAAACGTTATACGTACACACTGAACTGCGATTCACACAATATAAACATAGAAATTAACCATCATCAAGACATTTTGATCATTTTCTATGATTTGGATTCATTTTTGCATGAGATAGGACATTAAACATTGTGCACTATGAAGAAGTATTCAAAATTACAAGGAGTGAATGTTAATCAAATATTATTATATGAACACGACTCTCATTCTTAAATCTGTTGAGTGATTCTTGAGATAAAACAGGTTATTTAATTTATACAATCGGATATAGTAATAATATGAACGGATTTAGACCCTAACCTAATTAGGTATATTATCCCAAAGTAAAACAAAACAGATGTGATTTATAGTGTATATCATGCCATATATGCAACATATATAATTGCATGTTGACTTCACATAATCGAGACAATGTACAATCTAAATTGGATGTCACAAGATACATTGTCAAGCTGAACTGTCAATGCGTATTGGTGTATATCTGAGTATCTACTGCTGAACAAATAAATGCATAAGCAGCTCAACATCACACACGTCAACATCTGTTGAGTTGTTGAATCTTTAACATAATCGTGTCCGGACAGGAGAAGCGGAGATCAAACTGCTGAAGCCAGAGCGTCATGGAAGATGCGTCAATAAGGTATGATATATAGAACCACACACAATCTACGATGGCCGGCCATTGCCCAACCTAAGTTAAATGATAGAATTTCGCGTAGTTAATGGTTGATCATCAAATATCATGGTGATCATACATGCTAGACTAATAACATAAATCCTCTGTTTCTAATAAATATTATATATTATAATTATGTGTGTCACATTATAATGGATATATGCAATATTCTTGTAAATGCATTCCTGCAATGGTGAATTAAAACTACACCAAATGATGGGTATTAGCTGATGGTATTAGTGCTCGGTTGCTGAAGCTTCCTGCTACAAGTGTTGGTCAATCCCTGACTAAGATCTGTAATTTATGCATTTAAAGTGGAGTTTTCCCAAATTCCTGGAAACTGGCAAAGGTTACGCCCTTATTCAAGGCTAATAGACCGACGTAAAGCGTTTGATCTTGTAGACCACATAGTTTTACTCAATAAATCATCATTATATCAATGTGATGTCAAAGCTATTACTTTTCTCACATCATACTTAACGGATAGATACCAATTTGTCAATTTCAAGAGCGTCCATCCTGAAAATAGACCTTCGGCGTTTATTCTAGGTTCTTTATTATCTAATATATTTATTAATGACCTGCTACAGATATTGATATGTATATGGCAGATTTCACAGTCCATACATCAGCCAAAACTGTATCGACATGATATATGGGTGGCCGTAGTGTGGTTAAATGGTTATCAACACCGACACAACTAAATCTATGTTGATTAAGTTTAGGAATTTATCTCCTTTTGATCTCAATGACTGAACATTTGCTTGGTGTTATTGAGAACACAAATGTTGGAAGGACCACATTGAGAAAGTTTGAGCAAATATAGCACTATTTTGGCGCATTAATACATATTTGCCAATTCTTACCAGAATTACATATCACAACTCTTATTTTTCCCTATTTTCATATTGCACAGTTTGGGGCTTGTCACCAGTTATGTCAAAACTATTTCGGTTACCATTGCATAATCTTGACCATTTTCGCATAGCAACTCTAGTTTTCAAGTCACGGAAGGTAGAAGCCTACGCATAAATTAAAAAAAGAAAACTGAATTTATTCATTTTGCAATAAATTGTACTCCAAGGTAATATAAGGATATTGACCTAAAAAGTTGGGAGTCACCAGCCTGTTTTATGAGAAATTGATTGTTGTATTTTAGTGGAAAGTCGCCATTTTGACACTATTATAACCATAACTATTTACCACAGGTTCCTATGGCAGAGATATTATGCAATATCTCAAAATATAGCCTGAAAAAATCATATATTGTTAATGATGGAGTACTTTTTGTTATTTAAAAAAATCTGGGTTTTAGAAAGTGTCAAAAAATGCAATTTTTCTTTAACATTGTGTTCTGTGGAATTGATCTAAAAATAGCAACTTTCAAGAAATATTAGGACACGTTTCTTAAAAAACATAACTGTAACACACAAAATAATGCTATTTCATTGTATCATGAGACATTAGCTTCATGATTGTACATAATAAACTAATGAACATTGTCACGCGATTTATGACCAATTTTGTCAAAAATTAT